GGTTTATCTAACGAAGGCAACTCCCAAGGAAAATTAGATACAAGTTGGTATTCTCTTTAAATCACTGAGCTAGAAAGATGAGAAACTAATAAAGGTCCTGATTAGTGTGGGTTGCTCTCCCTCCACTGACCTCATTAGAAGGCACAGGTATCCCAGGAAAATGTGTACCTCAATGGACACGCAGATGTACGTGAAACACAGATTTCTTCACTCTGCGGCAGAGGGTTGGTGGCTGGAAAGAAGACCTGGCGCTCCTGTCTTCCGCATCCTGTATCCTAGCCAGCAAACCTCTGAGCTAAGCAGAGCCTACACCCCCTCCTTAAGTCCTATGATCCCTTAAATCTGTGGATGATATACACACCTGACATAGTCATGCTCCTCTTGGGCCTTCAAGATAAATTCAACCAAAAGGCCTTCAGGTTTTGTTATTTCTTAGCTCCCACTGAAAGGTTCCACCTAACAGCCACCCTCTGTGATGTTTATGTCTAAGAGGGGTAAGGAAGGAGTAGCAGTAGCCCCTGCCATTTCAACCCAGTCTTCTAGCGGCAGGTGACTGATTTGTTAAATCCAATTACTTTATGATAATTGAAGGTAGGTTTTAGAGTCAGACAGTCCAGGACTACAACCAAATCTGTTAGCTTTGTAGACCTGGGTAAGTTTCCTGTGATAAACCATATAAAGTCCTTGGTGTGAAGGGCATTTATGCCACATATAAACCATATAAGGCTCACAGCAGGGACTACCAACAAGATGAACGATGGACACTCTGGGAGGTCTTTGTTCTCCCTCCCTGAATTTCTTCTACTGTCAGGTTCTCGTATAGATTATCTATTGATAGGTCACATGAAACCCTGACTGTTACAATAAGCCAGCGTTTCTAGTTTATCTTTGTCTCATTAAGAACTTTCAAGTATGACAACAATACAGTGACAACAGATTCATTTGCTGAGCAACACAGTCTTGGAATAGAAAAGGTGTAGTTATTAAATCAACATGCAAATACAACATAGACTGTCCAACTTCGTGCCCTTTTGCAAAATTTTCATTATCAATAACAACCCTACTAAATACAAACTATGGTTCAGGTCATAACTCTGCTCTTGCCTGTTTGTGTAAATAAAATCTTATTAGGACACAGACATGCTCATTTCGTTGCATTCTATTTATGTTTGGTTTCATGAAATAATTGCAGAATTGAAGGATTTTGTTGTTCTTGTTTATTTTGGTTTTCCTAGGGATTTGTCGTTGTTGCTGCTGCTGTTTTATTTTGAGAGTGGATCTTTCTACAAAGCCCAGGCTAGCCTCACAGTTCTCCTAATATAAGCAAAGACTATATGACCTGCAAAACTAAAACGGCCTTATTTGGAAACGTTTGCTAGCCCCCAAAGAAGTTTGCTCAAGAAATCTAGAGGCAACCTTCCACTCTGTGAGTCTCTGATTCCTACCCCATTGTCCAACAAGAAAAAAGAAGGGGGGGAGGGAAGTTTACTTCTATCAATAAGCATAAATTTTCACTTTGTGACAAGTTCATATTAAAAATGAAACTAAAATTGACCAAATTATAGCTTTCCCAAGAACACCACATTTTTAGGATTCTGTCAAGGGAGAAAAAAAGCTGGGTGTAATGTCTAGAATGTATGTATGGGGTCCCCAAAAGAATTCAGCCATTTAGATGGAAGAAAAAAAGACCAAATTGAGAAAGACAAAACTGTGGCTATAGCAGGCAGCAAAACTGTCACAAGGAGCATGAGTCAGCACAGCACAAGGACTGGGGGCCGACTCCTCAGCCTGTCTACCTGCCAGCAGACCTCCACCTGCTCAGCTGGGAGCTGGAGAAGTAACTTCTTCCCAAGAGCCAGGGGTCACCACACACCCAGATGCTACTTGTATTAATCACTGACACCGCGGTTGTGAAGGGGCAGATGGACAGACACAACCTGGCACATTTAAAATAGCGTAAGGAGCCTGATGTAACTCAGTCCACAATCTCAACATTGGGAAGGCTGAGTGCCAAGACTTCAAGGCCAGCCTGAGCTACAGAATGAGATCTTGTCTAAAAAACCAAGACCGACACCAAACAACAGCTCAAGGTAGATTTCAGGGAGGCAGATGTCCGTTCGGGATGAAAAGCTTCCCTTACGGCTACCTGGTTATGAGGCATGAAAGTCAGCTTCCACTGCTATGATCAAATATCTGAGATAAATCAAATCAAAGGGGGAAATGTTGGGTTTGACTCATGAGTCCAGTGGGTTCATGCCTCAAACAGTTGACCCAGTTGGTTCGGTCCTGTCTGCTAAGGCAGAACATCAGGAAGACCATGTCTACTCACCTCATGGTGTTCACGAAGCACAGGGCGGAGGAGGGGATGGAATGGCTAACATGCTTGGCTTTATAACAGTCCCTGTTCTATAAAGTATTAACCTGTCAATCCATAAATAGATTCATGTAGTCAGGTGGTCGGACCCTCAGATCCAGTCACCTCTGAGGACTGCTACACTGAGTACCAAACCGTCAACATGGGTTTCTGAGAAACATTTCATTTCCAAACAAAACATCTGATGAGCAGATGGAGTCCAACACCTCAGCCCCGTGTTTATTCCCACCAGCATCTCCAGCGGTTCAGCGGCTGTGGCCCTGTGGCTGGAAGGATGCTGAAGAGACTGTGAAAGAATCTGGCACATGTCCCAGGGTCTTGTTTTTATTTTTTCCTCAGAGACTCTGATCAAGAAAGTTATATCACAGGGAAATAAGATAAAGCAGATTAAATAGATGTTTCCAGATTAAGGGAACAATGTATCGCAAACATTTTAAGTTTTGAAGAATCATCAGCAACTCAAAACAGTAAGAAAACAAACTGGTTCCCTTTTGTCAGCAAGGTAAACAAAGGGACAAGAACATGGCACATTTCCACAGTTGTGTGTTGAGGGCACCTGGGAAGCAGCCAGAGGTATTGCTACAAACAACAGACACAGTGGTTTTGGCTAACAGGATCCTGCAGAGGTACACTGTGCCCAATTCAAGCCGGGTCCATTCATGCTGGCCCATTAATAATTTGCCAGGTGCCTGAGGCTACAGCCAGCTCCCTCTCACTGTAGCCTGCCTTATTATCAGAGGAGCTAGGCGAGCTCTAACAGGCAGGCTCTGTGCTGTCAGTGGCGGGCAGGGAAGACAGCTTACTGCATCAAGGGGCCAAAGCCTGAGCTATAGTAATCTAGCTTGAAAGATAAATATGACCACAATATGTAGTTCTCATGGCTCACGGTATTTTAAAGGAATGAAGGTCATTAGTTCAGAGTTGACATATAAATCAAGAGTCAGTCTCTCTCTCTCTCTCTCTCTCTCTCTCTCTCTCTCTCTCTCTCCTCTCATGGAGCAGGAGAGAAGAGAAAACATGGGCTTGCCGTGGCAAATAGATGGGACACTAAAAAGCCATTGTGGTTGTGAGAGCAATAGATGGATAAATGCACACTGTTCTTGTTTGCTTCCTGTTGCCCTGATAAATATCATAAGAAAAAGTACAATGGGAGGAAAGGATTTATTTCAGCTTACACTTACAGGTCACAACCCATCACTGAGGGAAGTCGGGACAAGAGCTTAAGGCACAGACCTGGAGCAGAAGCTAGAGTGGATAGCTTCTTACTTATTCCTTGGCTCACACCTTAACTCACCTTTTTGTACTGCCCAGGCCTACTTTCCTTGTGCTGGTGCTATGTGTACAGTCACTAGGTCCCCTCACATCAATCTTCAATCAAGACTATCTGACTGAGCCAATTCTTCCACTGAGATTCCCTCTTCCCAGGTGTCTCTAGGTTTATGTCACATTAACAACCACAACACAACACAACAAAACAAAACAAAAACCAGCTATAAATGGCTACTAATGCTCACAGTTTACTTCTCCTCTGGAATTATTAATATGAAATGACTCTTCAAATACATATTGAACCCAGATGCTATCCAGTTCAAGCCTTCCTCACTCATCGTTAAAGAGATGCACTTTCCAGTCCATAGCATGAAGTTCTTGGCATAGTGCATCAATTAGTCTAGTGGTGAATTCTACTCTCACTTTTGCAGATAAGGAAAATGAGGCTCAAAATATGTCACTAAGCCAATGCCTCACACCTAAACAGTAAAAATGAGATCACAGTCTGCTAACTCAATGTTTTTTGATCACCATTCTAGACAACTTTTGAGTGCTAGACCCTCAGCCAGGGTGGGAAAAGAGTAAAGTGGGGAGGGAAAAAACTCATTCTTCTCCCAGACTTCTGTTTCTCAGCCATCTTCAAATCTAGCCACGAGGTGATCAAACCCTAGATCATACCAGGACTTGCAGACAGAAAGCAAGTGTGAAGGCACCTGGGGGGGAGGGCAGTATAGGGAAGATGGAGGTGGGAGGAGCCAGCACCTCAGGTGCCTGGGTAGTACTGCAGCAGGGAGAGGGACAGGACAAGTCCCCGCTGCCCTCTGAAAGCAGACATGGGGAATATCCATCCTCAGTGTTAGCGGTGGCTCTGATAGGAAGAGAAAGATGAAAGGCAATGACAAAGGAGCTGAGCTGCCTTGGGAGCAGGTGATGCCTCCACTCCCCTAACAAATCCCACCATCCCATTCTCGCTGCCACTCAACCCCTCCCAATACTTTCCCCCCGCCTTTTATCAGCAGTTTCTAGAAAAAGGACAGGAGGAGGACACTGGGGTATGGAGCTCTAGAGATTTCTCAAGCCTGGCTCCACATCTATCTTCTCTGCCCATCTCCTACCACCTCCAGGATCTCTATCCGTGCATCCTAGCAACAAAGAGCTGCTGCACAGCAATACTCCCGGGGCCGGTGCTCTTCCTGGAGTGTGCCGGCTGCATGCTGGCTCCACAGGAGGGAGAAGGATGGTCTGGGCTTTGACCCATCAACCTTAGGTATAAATTCCAGTTCAACCAAGTGCTAGCTGGGTCACAGTGGTCTCCTAGGGAATAGAGTGATGACGGTCCTTATCTTTAGAATGTAGCTCTAGCAAAGAGCCAGAGAAGGCGCATCTGCTAGAACCTGCTACTTTTCAGCACAGAATGGACAAACAGCACCTGTCTACTCTTCTCTTCTCACTTAGTCCTGGTGAAGAGGCCTGGCCTGGCATGACACAGGGTACACTCTTCCCCTTTCTGCCCTGTACTTTTGTTAACTTCCTTTCTTCCAGGGACTTCAAACGGATGCCAGACAAACTGTATGAGGGCAAAGACTGTGCTTCAAGTACTCTTTGGCTTGTAGCAACCATCATTTATTTACCATTTTAAAAAAGAAATTGAATATTTACTTAATTATACTGCATTTCTTACTTTTTATACCTGTCTGCTTGAGGTAATGTTATAAAATTAAGGTCAAAGCAGCCAGTCTCCTTGTCAATAATATCATTATAAATAATTCTGTACATACAATTTTGTTCTACTTGAGTCAAATGAAATTCTATTTAATTTTAACTCTATTATATAGCCATCTCAAAGTTTTCTCATTAGTTTAATGACTTTTACTCAGTCATCTTCAATTTTTAATTATTATTAATAATGCTCAAATGAACATCTTTCAATAAAAACAAACAAACAAACATTTGTTTCATCATTGGAAGGGTCCAGATACTTTCTCAAAAGATTTACTTTTAAATTTATTTTATGTGTATAGGTATGGCAGCCTACAGCACGGCTGCCTCTAACACTGGGAAAGTAGTGAAGAATGATAATTTAAAACATTTATTGTTGGGGCTGAAGATATAGCTCGGTTATTAAGAACACTGGGTGTTCTTCCAGCAGTCCTGGGTTCAATTCCCAATACTGTCTATACCTGCAGTCCCATGGGATCCCATGTTCTCTTCTGGTGTGCAGACATGCATGCAGACTGAACACCCATATACATAAAATAAATAAATAAATATTTAAAAAGAAACCTTTAATGTTTATGTAGATACAGGTGAGAGTATGGCTTAAAGGAGCGCATGTATTTCTTAAATATATACATAGAGAAAACCAAATTTTAGCACTGGAAAAATGGCTCAGCAGGTAAAAGCTGTCAGGTTTTCCAAGCCTGACAGTCTGTGTTCAATTTAGGTCCAATGGTGGAAGGAGAGAGCTAACTCCTGAAAGTTGTCTTTTGGGCTTCACAGCGCCCTGGCACATACACACTTGTACTCACACGCACATATACACATACAAAGAGTAATAATAAATAAGATTTTTAAGATGAAACAAAACTGGAAGCAAATATCCCAAAATGCTAACTACTATATAACCTGGATGGTTGATTTAAAGGTATTGGCATGGTACTTTTCAGATTTTACACTATCTTCCAAATATCTGAAAAAATAAAATAATGGACTCGTGACTCCCCAGTCGCATCATTAAATCATCTGTCCATATGGCCATCCTTTCAAACAGTGCAATCATGTCTACTCTTCACAGTGGGCATCCCACTACTAGAACTGTAGAGCTAAAGAAGCACGTTGCCGTCTGTGAGCAGCATCCATGTGCATGCTCAGTTCAACCTCTAGTATTGTCCCCTCGGCAGTCTTGTGAGAAGACCGAAGAGAGAACATCACTCTGTGAGCGGTTTCACACAGGGAAGAACTCCACCCCTAGGCCACTGCTTCACTTAGCATGGTCCTCCTTCTCCCACCAGATTCTCTCTCCCTTTCCACTCTTAAAACACTCTGGTCTTACTGTTTCTCTGCCGGGAACATATAATATATAACTCATATATAATAAGCTCCTGGCAGCTTCTGGGCATCAGTTAAAATTAACGTAACCCCATCAGAAGACTTCCCTAACATCCTCAGTCACACAAGAGCTTTTCATCCTGGAGAGTCCCCTACTTGTCTCCGCCCCACCCTACTTGTCTCCGCCCCACCCAACTTGTCTTCTTACTTTTCAAACACGCTGGTCTCCTATAGGCTTAGAATCAAGGAGAGGGCGTGCAGCTGTCACCTCCTCAGGTTCTCTCAGTCAGGTCTTCCTGGGTTGCCCTACTTAACTTCCCTTGAGATTTCTTCTCATGTCTCCCTCAATGGTAGCTGTGTGAGGTGACATAATTGTTAACACACCTGCCAATCACAGACTCACAGTGTGTACTGAACAAATATGATTGTTATTTGTAAACTGTACCTAAGTAAAGTTGGATAAATAAGAACAAAATCAAAATCAATCAGCTTCCCCTATGCCACTCTTGATACAATTCGCCTGTTTAACTTCTCTTGCTAGGTAAGACTTGCCACCTACCAACCTCTATCATCTGAGCATTTATTTTGGTTACTGCTCATGGCCTATCTCCTTAATCCGGAGTGAGTCCCATTGAGGGAAGAAAGGTATGTTTTGTTCACCAACCTAAAAGTTTTAACAGTGTCTCAGTAAACATCTGATGCGGAATAGATCCACTTCCTAGCAATTGCCAGTATCCTCTTGCTTGTTTCCCTGATTACTTGTTTACTGCTTGTTTTCCTCCAGATGACCAGAGTGGGGACAAGCAAGAAGAGAGAAAACTGCCGGTTTAATCCACATGCTCGGCGGGTAGCAACAAATCCAACACATCTCAGGATGTGTGCCATGGATACAACCAAGACCCCAGGGGCTGGTCTTGATGTGGGGCCAAGAAGGCGCTTCACAGCACTGTAACTCGATTTCCTTCTGATTCTCTGAGAGAATATTAGTCATCTATAAAGGAATCCCCATTTACCTAGCATAATTACAATGCTAGGAAAATGTATTTCATTTATTTTGTATTCCGTGTTTGGAAGTCTGCTTCAGACTGTAATTGCAGCCGAAATCCCAGTAGTAAACAACCAGCTTGCATTTTATATGTTACCATGAGGCTCTCTCTCCAGGTTTGCTCTTCAGAGCCAAGGAAATGTTGACACAGTTGCACACCAAGTTTCAACATGCTGATCATGTTAAAATAGTGCACAAGAAATATTTTTCCACTTTATAAAAAGCCAGACTGTTTACATGCTTAAGTGGCCAGAGACTTTGCTATCTGTGTGTGGTCCTGAAGTTTCAATATCATAACCATGAGTACAAAGTGAGGCAGCATGCAACAAACTTGGCTATGGAGCTCCTCAACCAAAACGGGAATCAAGACATTACTATCCGAGAACTCAGAAACAGGCAGGTTTAAACTGGGTGGGGGAGGAAGAGGCCTTATCTAACACAGTTTTGAAGAAAAAAATAACTTAATAGAGCTTGGTTATATGTGTACTTGTGTAGCAATGTATATGATTAAGTAGGAAAACAAGAGGGAGAGAGAGAACAGGAAGGGCTCACAGGGTCTTCAGCCTTTATATTTCTTATAAAATCACAGAAATATGCCAAATACAGTGTTCAGGAACTCCAAGCCCAGAGTTCCATAGTAGAAAAGATCTACAAACAGTTACTGAGCACAGATCCTAAGGACAAACTTGAGAATGAGAAGAGGCTTTGCTTCAACTTGGCCCAGTGGCTCAGCACAGGCCGTGGCCCCCTCCCAGGAAGCACCAAGCAGAGCAGGGGCCCCAAGTTCACAGCCAGGCCAAAGGAGAAGACAGGCCTTTCCCCCTTTCCAAGCAGTACTGGCTTTGGCTGACAACTTAGTGTTTCTTCAAGCTAGAAATAGAATTTACACAGAAGTTCCACCCTGTCCAGACAAGATAGAAGTGACAAGAGACCTCACAGAAAGAAAAATTATCTACATCCGTGAAACTGAAGACATGTCCACATTCCCAGAGTCTAGAGTTTAACACTTGGGACAGTCTCCGGATTCTGGGCTGTTTGCACTTACCATTCCTCAAAATCCCCAATGCTTCAGGTTGGTGAGCACTGCTGGTTCTCACGTTTTTAATGACTTTTCATTCGAAGGACCAACCTTCATACTACACTGTGTGTCAACAAAACCCAAATCTCATAATGTGGGCAAATTCATGCTGCAACAGGAGATGACCTTTCCCTTTTGACGGCCAAATGCACACACTGTTACTCTCAGTTGACCGAGTACGCGAGAGAATGGTACTTCATTAAAAAACTTTTTTTCCTGGCATTATTCTATTTTTCCTCCTACAGTTTCTTTTACAGAGTCTTCTGTGGCTATAGGTCAGGAGAGTTTTCCCGTTGCCATGAGAACAGTGTAAATAAGTGAACTTTAAAATTCACTTTGGGGGTAAGGAGTCACCACACTTCCGGCTACCTAAGCCCCGCTGGATGTGTATTGAATATTCTTCCTTGCAGGAATAGAGCAAGGCCATCTAACATTACTCCTCCATCACAGCTGCCATCTTTGGGGCCAGAAAAACCCCAGAAGCCTTGCAGAGAATTGTAACTGCTACAATTTCTCCACATCTAGTAATAACCTCCTGTGCTCAGGGAAAAACTTAAGCTCAATGTTACATTTTCAAAATGTGAAAATGTTCGTCTCCCTGACCTCATCAAGGATCTGAAGTGCTCTCACCTCTGACATTACCCCTGAGTAATGTGGTGCTCCCACCCATCCCTGACACTGTCCCTGAGTACTGCAGTGCTCCCACCCCTGACACTGTC